TTTTGAAGAACTGCTGTTCGTACGCTAAAAGCTAAGATGATATTGAATGAAAAGTATGATATATATACAATGAACGTGAAATTACAGATAGGCACTGCTTTGGTCAACTTCGTTGCGTCTTCCACTACAAGGAGCGCGATGAGGGGGAGTGTCACTGGGATGCCAATCTAAATATGGCAGAAAGAGCACGAGCCTTAGTACAGTGTCTGCTAAATAACGAAGACTTTATTGAAACAGTGGCAAATGTATGCAGCAACAACACTGCTGCAAGCCCAAATGTGCACTCGTCATTTGATCGAGTTGATGATGAGGTGCGCTCACTTTTTAATAGAGGTGCGCAAACCAGAGTGCCAGATTTTCTGAGGCCGGACCCAAGTGTATTTTTAAGAAGCGGTACCGGACCCGGTAACTTAATACAAAACGGTGATATCAGCCTCAGCGTCAGCAGCATGTCCAACCCGCAGCAATTACCAGTCCCGTCGTATAACCTGAGGCGTTTGCCTAGAATTAACAGCAGACGACAGACAAGGTAAAGTATTACCTAAATTAAAAACCCCGAATTAATTTCACGTGCCTTACTGTACCAAAACTACAGTCTAAAGTGACGCCTATATTTGTCTGATAAGTACTATCACAAGACGTGAATCTAAGTAAGCACGGAGTTTTCTTTTAAATGCTTTTTTTCCAGGTCAAGTAATCCATGGCTAGTTAATGCATAGCCATCTTTTGAGCAAAATGAGAAATGTTACAGTAAGTTGTATGCTAGCTTGCAATATGAAGTTAAGTACAGTTCAGAAATAAGCCATTATTTTAAGGGACAACATGTCTGTTACTTGCTAGCTCAAAGAACTCATATCCTTAATAACGGCCAGAATTGCTGCAAACTGAAAATAAACTTTTCGTCGTGGGGTGTAACACTACAAAATGCGACAGTACATTTTGTTGCTGGGTTTTTTCTCTGACTGCTCCCTGTTCGGAATGGATTTGACTAGGCCTGGGCGATATGCCCTGTAGCGGCCAATAATCTAATAACTCCCAATAACATTTTTTACATTCCTAATGTAATAAGAGTTGGCAATATAATAACTTGCTAATAATTGAATAAACTTTCTGAATTAAAAACGTAATAGCTTATTACAATATGCGCAAAAGTTATTAGATTACTGACAGTTATTACATTGTTGGCTGCTATATGCCCTAAAAAATATATCACAATATATGCAGAGATTTTCACAATATTGATTTTTATCACAATATTCCAAAATCCACAACAATAAAATATGTAGAGTGGTTTTGAGTTTTTCTGATTATGATGACTAAGTTGTTTTACCAAAACTTATGGGGCACGTGTCAGGTATGATGATAAATTGTGCCAACAAGAGACTCATAAATTGATGCAATTTGTTTAATGATAGTTCATTATGACTGTTAATTATTCAAAAAAACAAGTGTTTAGCAAGATATGCAAATTGATGATGACTTTTTATTAATGTATTTTCCAGCCCTAATTTATTCTCTTGTTTCTTCTCATAGATAATTAATACTCCACTGTTTGGTGTTAAGCATTTGGCCTAATATTTGTGGAAATTTTCATTTTATTGCATCACTAATTTTATGTAGGAGCAGGAAGACCTAGCATTGTTTTAGGGAAAAAAATAAGGCATGTCAGTCTGGCAAATTCTCAAGAGGGTCTGTGTAACTAGTTATGCATAGTTCTACCAAACCATCAAATTATAGTCATACCAATAGTTTTAGAGAAATTACTTTTCAGACAGACAAAAAGACTACAATACAGATTTATATAAAACAAACTGATAATGCAGTTGCTACATAGTGAATCTGAAATATTCAGGTAGAGGGTACTAGTGACTTGATATAGGATGTCTTGTAACATTATTATGATCTATAGTTAGCATTACGCTAACATTTTTCTAATTTTTGATATAGACGAACTCGAGAACTTCAGCACGTGACTTTTACAAAGGAAGTTGTGCTTCTGCCTGACAACAGCTCTACACTTGTGCCACGCCGTGCAAGTAAGGCCTGGTTATATGATCATGGCCATGTGAAATCAGCAGTAGAGTTTAACATTGAATGGGATGAGTCTGAGGTGATGGCCACCATTCGAAGGTCCTTCATGCCACTGGTTGATGGTTGCAGGTAGGTATATGAAAATTTCTTGTGGTATGTTTCTCTGTTCTCCAGAACTTTGTGTCACTCCATCAAAAGTAAACTTTCAGTGTGATGTTATTAATTTCTGTCTTCAATAATTTCCTTTTTTAGTTTGCAGTTGCTGTTGGGT